CCAGTTGCCCTAAGACCCAAAAAACAACCTTGCATGTGTAGCCCTTTCATTGCAGCTACTGCCAGAAGTTAGCTCTTCTCTGCTGTGACAGGGCTGCAGGTTCTCACTTTTCTTCTACTTCCCTCAAGAGAAATGACAGGTTTGAACTAGAGAGAAGGTGAGCCTCGAGCCTGACATTGAAACACCTGCAAACATACGGAAGATGTTGATATGCTAGTAGACCTCACTTACTGCCTCAGAATCCTTGAGTTTGTAAAGAATGTAAATGAATGTTTTGGAACAGTCTTTTTGTATTTTTCCAAAAGTCTATCATAGGTCCCAGTCCTTGGATACCTGGGTTGAGTCGGAGTTGGTTTATTGTGGAATGCTTTCCATGTAAGGAACAGTGGGGAGCAGGTTTGACCAAAGGGAAATGCTTAATGAACAGAAGTGCAGTTGGACCAGGAATGAGCGAATCCCAAAAGATCCTTCAGAGAAGGACTGAGACTTGACCCAAAGAGCCAGTCCCAAAGAGCTGTCGTTGGAGAAGGGTGTCATCCTGGCAAACCAACTCCTTTTACCCAAGAGTAATTTTTAGGGAGGAAATACTTTCATTTAGTCAGTCAGCTGTCAGTACTCTTTGAGGTTCAATGGCTTAAAGGAAAGAAGTAGACAGATGGCATCCATTCATGCTGTCTTCACTATGATGGGTAGAGAGAAACTGACATGGTAAAATCATTACAGTTGGCTCTCCAACTTTTAACACATTCCAAGATATTATAGGATACATGAATAATTATTCCCAGGTTTACCTTCATTTTGAGGACTTGCTACATAACAATACATTTTTATAATAACCTTTTCTGTAATATTTCTTAAACTTTCTCCTGTTTGTTCCTTAATTTTACCTGTTGTTATAAACTACTAAATAGAGATGGAAATAATATTTTCTCTAGAAATCACTCAGTTTATGCAGTATAGAAGTTTCTCTCACTAACTAATCCAAGAAATCTATATCAATTTGTAGATCTAGAGACCAACGTAATTAAAATCCTATGCAGAAGAATAAATAGAATGGGACAGAAAGAAGTTGTCATGGCAACCCCAAATCCTAATTTTCCTCATTTTATACCAGAAAAGTATTAACCTTTATGATGCCTTAATACTTTTCTCTACATTGTGTTCTACCCAGTGGCCATTCAGGATAATATATTCACTATAAATATAGATTCATTATTCATTCTTGAGCTTCAGTTTCTTAATTACATTTTAAAGTATTTTTGTGAAAGCCTGGCATTAGGAAATTAAACCTGTTCTACAAGATTCAGTTTTCTCGAGATCAAAACAGTTTGAAAGGGGTTTGTTTCTTTTTGTAATTTAAAATAATTTGTGTTTCTAATTACTGAAAATGTAAACATGGGGATACGAGTGACTGTTCTAACATAAGGTTGACATTTTAATTGCTATCTCTTTTTTAGGTTTGTTTTATTTTAAATCAGAGTTACAAACAAAGAGATAGAGACATGCATGCATACACCCACAGAGAGACCTTGCATCCAGGAGTTCACTCCGTAGATAGCCACAAACAGCACTGGGCCAGGCCAAAGCCAGGAGCTGCTTCCAAGTCTCTCTGGTGAATGGTAGGGTACCAAACATATGGGCAATCTTTCACTGCTTTTCCCAGGCCTTTGGCAGGGAGCTGGATCTGAAGTGCCACAGCAGGGGCACAAGTGGGATGCTTTCTAATGCACATGGCAATAGAATAGTCCTTCAGCAACAGTCACAAATCCAACATTCTGCTATTTAAGTGTATCATGACATTGTAGGTTTAGAAGATGTTAGAGTCCAGCATTGTATTGCCAAGATGTATGTAACAATTTCATTGGGGATCTGTCTTTTAAGCCTCCCAAAATGCATCATTTCATTAGACACTTGTTTCCTAGTGTGCAAGTCCCTTAATATTAGAGTAGCTTAATATTAGGTAGCTAAGATACCTGTGTTCTATCCTCATTGCGATTATTACTGTAGGGGCTGGAATTCATTAACTTCACTCTGTTGTACTTTCTTCACCTATGAAATGAATGATAGTTATTTGTATTTCATGTTACCCAGATTTGATTCTTTTTTTTTGAATAGCAAAATATGCTACATTAACTAAAAGTACCAATAGGAATAGAAGGTAGTAATTTTAGCCAGAACCGGGCCAACAGCTAGCATTCCCATCTACATAATGATGTTTTCTTTATAAATAACTTATTTTCATCAATTTGAGTTCTTTGTTTTGCTATTGACAAACAATATTATTTCGAGATATAAAGGAATAAAAAGTAAAATAGCCACTCTTTTCAGTATATCCTAATTGCCCACAATAATCTTGAATTTTAAAATGTTTTAATCTCATAGCAGTTTGCAATAACCTTTGTCTATACTTTATTCAAGGTTTTCTGGCTTTTCTTTTAAAATCAGAAATGTTAAGGATAATATTATTGGTTGCTACAGTTAAAGGTTTGTAGCCTTTTTTGTTGTTGACTACTTCAAAGAATACCTTGTTGTAGAAGCAGTTTTGAAATTTAAAAGTCTTTGCTTCCCTAAAAAAAATTTAAAATCACGGTAACTTCAAACTGATTTCCTAAATATTGATCATATTCAGTAAAAGTCTCTTTTCTTCTTTACTTTTTATAGCTTTAAAATTATACTTACGAATAGTTCAGATTATTGCACAAATATGGAAATATTGAATGACTCAGCCCTCTGGTGAGACTCACCCACTTGTGCAAACAGCAGCTAGAAATAAATGTGTTGTTATTTGGAAGTATCAGTTGAAAGAATGTCTGAGGGACCGGCACCAACATCTCACTTCCAAAATAAGACTGAAATTAAACTGAAAATCTGTCAGGCAATGTGCTTTTAATTTAATGTGCTATTATTATTTAGCTATTCTAATTGAGCTCATTTTTTTCATTCCACAGTAAATCGTAATGTTTCACATATCATCACCTGCCCTGTGTCACTAACTGGCAATGTGTATCACACTTAGTGAGTGATACCACAGAGAAACAGTTCCTTGTTTGAGTATATGCGTACCAATATTTTGTATATATATGTGTGTGAGTGTGTGTTTATCTAATTTTAAACCAACTAATTCACAAGAAACATGAAAGTTAAGACATCTTCATTATTAGGTTTTTCAGCCAAGTTACTCTAAGAGAAGTGCTTTTTGCAGAAAAACTTCTAGGTTCTACAGAATCTAAAATAGCATTTTAAAAGTGAGAAGTTTCCAATCTTTGAGGATTCTGGGCTGCTAAGTTCCATGAGGGGACAAGAGACAGAGAGAAGGATTGGCAGAACACACTGCTGTGCTGGACACTGTGTTAATTCTTCATATGGATTATTTCATCTCATACTCTTGAAAACACCATCTTTGGTCTGTCTATCCTCATTTTCCACATGAGAAAACCAAAGGACAAAGAAGGTCTGAATTTGTATTTTTCTAGTTCTGCCCTTGAGGATTATATAGTTGCAACCAGTGAAAAATGTAAGTGCTAAAAAGTAAGAAATAGTTACAAAAGTGAATTATGTGTTTGTATTATTCTCATCCATGATCTCTCTCCAAGGAGAACCAAAAATCTCTCAATTTTTGTTAATGTTTTCATACATAGTGTGATTATTCTATTTCTAAGTAAATGTGCACTAAATATGTTGAGTGTACATAATTAATTCATAAAAGGTTAAAATTCTATAAAAATTCTTCATCTATTTGCTGGTTACCATCACATCTTTGCAAAATCACAGGATCTTTGAGGCCTTATTAGGTTGGAATCTGTGGATAGTGTAAAGTTACTCCTGCCTGTGTCTGTCTGTATTTATTTATTTCTCTCCTGAAGTATGCGATCAGCACAACCTGCCACCACACAGAAAATCATGCAAGTCTATACTCCTTTTTAAATTGGAAGAAGTGAGTTTATTTCTGTGCCTTTAGAATACCTGCCTTACATCTATAAAGCAGGGCTCAATTCTTCATATTAAGAAGGTGTATAAATACTTAGAGCAATGCTTTATAAAAATTCACTTAACTACTAAGGAAGTAGAACTGATTCTGTTGACTTCAAGGCCAAGATTCTACTCCTGTGCTGTATATCACTTACCAGTAGAAAAACAGGAAGCCTCAATAAAGAGCTAATCTCTTTTAGTGAAGACTCTTTTAGTCTAAGATGTTTTCATTGACTACCTTAAGTATTAATTGCTTTGCAGTATTTTGGAGGTAAATAGGCACTTAAAATAATTGAATAAATTAATTGGATAAAAGAGTTCAATAATCAATCTAAATAAATTAAAGTGATTAAACAGACAAGTCATGTTTCATCATCGGTGACTTGATATATATTGAGAGAGTCAATCATGCCAACTTTGCAGTGACTTGGGAAAAGGATTATCCAATAAGACAAGTGAATTATTGATCAGAATATTGTCTGCCATGAATGGTGAAAAAAAATGGGAGGAAAACTTAACCATCAATAAATGGGATTCAAGGCCCAGTTTGTGTAATATTCAGCATGCCTTTAAGAATCAAAGGATATTATAATGGTATTTATAATCATTTTATAATTCACTAACATTTTGAATATATATTGTCACTTATCAGCAGTTATAATACAAGTGTTTTATCTCTTTTAGAAATTGCAAAATATGAAGTTTGGGCCATGTATTTTGATATTTATTTCATATGTATTCTAAGGTAGTTTAGAATACATTTACATAGCACTAATTGGCTATATAAATAACTAATGCATTTGATCATTTACATGGTATTGTTGGAAGAGAATGCTCGTCTCCTGAGAAAGACCTCTCCACTCATTGCATTCCCTGAATATTTCATGAACCAACATAAAGCAATATGCTAATGACAGACTATCCAGTGAGCAGGTGCACCCTCTGATGTCTTTTCATTTCTGATACACCTTTGATGTGGGGTCAATTAAACCATTTTGAATTGTTTGTCCTTTGCTTTCCTCCCTTCACAGTTTCACCTAAAACTACAATGGTGAGTGAGAGCCACCACGAGGCGCTGGCAGCCCCTCCAGTCACCACTGTGGCCACCGTGCTGCCACACAATGCCACTGAGCCAGCCAGCCCTGGGGAAGGAAAGGAAGATGCTTTCTCTAAGCTGAAAGAGAAGTTTATGAATGAGCTACATAAAATTCCACGTGAGTATTTTATATTGTTACATTACAAGAAAAGGACTGTCAAAAATCACCTTTGGGATTGGAAGGCAAAGAAAGCAACTCCTTTTAATATTTAATTTGTTATGGTATTAATTTGGATAGTAATATCACAGTCATGGAATATGAAAGAATGGAATATGCTTAGAAATGAAATATTCTAAGTTATATAACATTTTCATTTATCAAAATTTTTGTTTTAAATAAGTAGTTTTTATATTTTCTTTAACATGAATTTCTCTAAACATTGATTCTTTTAGCTTATGTTGGATTTTTTTTGAATTTGTATTTAGGAAACCAGTGTATTATAAAGATTATTGATAACATTACTTTTTCAATATTGCAAGTTGGATCTTCTATCATTTATTTGCCAAGACTTCGAACTCTTTCACCCATGTCGTTTTACCTTGTTTGCTGTCATTCAGAAAGGAGAAAAGCCTCTTAGCTTAGTAGTGAGGGCAGAATAAAGTCAGATCAGTGGTGTTTAAATAACTATTTATTCAATAAAAAGTATTTACTAAATTGTTTTATTAAATATTATATTTTATTAAATTTTTACCTATTTATTGATGCAAATAAACCCTATCATAAAGTATAATATAATGTCCAAAGGAAATGAAGTTAATAATAATAATTTTTATATGATTGTTGGCTCATTTGTTATTCCTGATGGTCTGTATCTGTTTTTAAAAAACAATTATTGAGCCCTTAGATTTAGTGGTCATTTCTTTTAAATTTTTCTAATTTATCTTTGAGACACACACATGATATCTTTTCATTGACTGGTTTTTGTTGCTTGCATATTTCAAGTATTAGCCCATTATCAGATATATAGCATAAAGGTTTTTCCTCATTTCTTCATTCTATTGATTTTTGTTGTTCTGTAAAAGCTAGTTAATTTAGATAATATACCATGTATTTGCTTTGGCTCTTGCTACCTATGCTTTGGGTGCCGAAGCGAAAAAGTTACATGCCAGAACAATATCATAGAGCTTTAACATTATATTTTTTTCTACTAGTCTCAAAGATTAGAGCATAGTATATAGTAAAGATTTAGTTTCAGTCTCCTGCATGCAAATTTCTAGTTATCCAACAGTACTTCTTGAAGAGACTGTCCCTTCCTCATAGTATTGACTTTGTTATTGTGTTGAAATCAGTTGTTTATAAAGCATGGGGTTATTTTTGGCATCTCTGTACTGTTCCATCGTACTTTGTGTCTGTTTTTATACCAATGCCATGTGGCTTTGCTTACCCTATCTTTGAGGTGTATTTTGCAATCAGGTAGTGTATGTATCCAGATTGTTCCATTCACTGAAGGAAGCTTTGGCTATCCAAAGTATTTGTTGTTCCATAAAACTGTTGAGAGTTTTCTTTTTTTATTATTATTATTCTTTGCAGACTGCCTTTGGTATTTTGATAGGGCTTAATATAATGAATCAGTGCAGTGTGGACATTTTAACAATACTAAATCTTCCAATTCATCTGAACAGGATATCTTTACATTTACTTCCATTTGCTTAATTTCTTTCATCAGTATTTTAGAGTGTTAGTATTATTTTTCCCTTTATAAATGGAATCGTTAATTTTTTTTCAAATAGTCCACAGTTAATGGATAGAAATTCTGTTTGTTTTTTGAGTGAGATTATTCTTTTTGTTAGTAGACTGATTTTATATCTATAAGGTAATGCCATTTGCAAAAGATACAGACCATTGCTATGGTGAATATAAGAGGAAAATGTAAGCCTCAACCTTATTCTGAGTTTCAGAAAAACAAAAACTTCCTTTGTTTCCTGTGGAATATGATGTAAACTGTGAGCTTACCATATATGACTTATAAAGGTGTTAGGATACATTCTTTCTATGCCTAAATTGTTGAGAGTTTTCATTCTGGTAGGATGGTGAATTCTGTCAAATGTTTCTTCTGCATGTGGTAAGACAAATTAATGGCACATTAAAAAGATCACTCGTGAGGATCTAGTAGGATTCGTCCCATGTTATACAAAAACAGTAAATCAGTAAATAAGATACACAACACTAACCAAAAGAAGGGAAAAATGATATAGTCATTTCAACAGATGCATTGAACATTCTCTGGTATAGATCATATGTTGAGATATAAACCAGATCTTAACAAATTTACAATTGAAGTTTTATCAAGTATGACAAATGTGGAGCTCAAGACAAGCTGGAAGCCTTGAGTTGAACTAGCCAGCCAGGCAGTGGGGTACGTGAGAATGTTGGGACTGCTCTATCCAATGTGGTGCTAACAAAAGCCCAAGGCAGCCATAACCAGTGTGATGCCTCAAGAACTTTAGAGTCCATGGAGGTAGAATTAGAGCGGGGGCATCTAAGGCCAGGGTCTACTCAGAGTTGTCTGGAGCAAGAGAGCACCAACATAAATGAGATAGTGAAGTCAGCTGGAGATTAACTATCCTGTGCAAGCCTGGAGCATGGGGCTATGTGGTACCTTGTGGAACTGACATGGGTCTACAGGTTCAGTGCATGGGAATTGCTTGGAAGAATGAGGCAAGCAGACCTTCCTTTTCCGGGGAGTTAACATGTAAAGTCCTGTGTCAGGATACAAGGCTCATGCTAACTCTTTCCATGTTATATTGCTTTGTGTACCAAGGTTGATTTCCTTGTTTATCTGGTTTCTGTAGTTCTTGTGAAAGTATTTTAATGCATGAATAGTTACTCTAAATTATGCTTCTGCAAAGCGATAATCATCAGGAAGTGCTATTGGGTCATTTTGTTCTATCACAATTGCAAAAATGTTTCCTAAGTGCTGAAACAAAAGCTTGAGGCCTTACACATCCCTTAAATTCTAGTAGTCAAAAAAAGTCATCAATAAGCAAGTAGATAATCTCATGTGCAGTGTGCCATATAAACTATGATAGTGTATGGAAAAATGTAAGTGAATAAATGACAGAAGGTATCACAAAAAGAGGCCAAAGTATTGTTTGTAAGATATCAAAACAGATTTTTGTCATAAAGAAATTGAAAAAAGTAAAGGCAGAATCCATCATAAAACCCGCTAGAACATAAGCTCTCAGATAAGAATTTTGGAGAGCAACAGCTGGGTATTACATAAGTAGAGTAAACATGATGGAGAGTGGCCAAAGATGACTTTCTTTGAACCATTTTGCATTGTTGAACAGAGGTGTTCTGTAAACTGACTTGTTATTTTAAAGATAATTATTGTTGTAGTGTTGAAAATAGGCTATAGACAGTCAAGGACAGAAAAGATATCAGAACATTGTAATAATCCAGATGAGAGATTGGTTAAAATTTACAAGGAAATTATTCTACAAGAACACCAAAAAAATGTAAAAATCCAACAGTGTCAACTTCTAGCTCAGTAGTTTCAGCTTTGCGGCTTGTCCATCCCTTGTCATCAACTTCAGGTTCATCCAAGAAATGGGTTTAGCACAGTCATCATTCATCATTCACAGCAGAAAGACCCTTAAATATGTAGAAAAGGAGAAGTCCTATGGTGCATGTTCTCTTCTTTGTTCTGTTGTTGAACTAACAGGCTGATAGACAAACTCTGGGTTCTTTTGATGCAATTTTGAGGTACAATGACAAGGCAGAAATCAAATGCAAATGTTATTTTTACAAACTCTTGTTTGAATATTTGTGAAAAATGGTTTAAGAGAAATGTGTTTTAGAGACACAGAAAAAGCAATGAATTATACCAAATCTAATACATGCCCTGTCTATCTTCATTATCTCTTCAGAAAGGATGAAGAGCACATTCTAACATTGATAACTATGGAATCAAATATTGCCCATTTGTCAACAAACTCATTCACTCATCTTCTTTAGGTCTTTCCCTGTTCTCATTCTCTTGGATGGGACTCCCCAGCTATGCCACCTAAGAATGCAAGTCCTTTCATCTCACTCCATCTTTTCCAGTGCTTCAGTTTTCACCACATCTCTTAACTATCTATAAAGCATTGTATTTTATTATGTGGTTTTAATTGGTTGGGTTTCCTACAAAGCAGTGGAATTTTATGAGCAGTAATATGCACCATTATATCCACAATGGTCTTTGACAAGACCCTCAGTATGTTTTTGATGAATGGAAGAATGAAAAAATAATATTTATCTGGAACTATGCCTCTTAGAATTTGAGGCATTGTGATTCTGACAGAACATATTGTTAAGGCACAAATTTGATAAATTTTAAATTTCAGGCACTATGGAAAGCATAATTCCATTGCTTGACTGTGCCATTCCTCTGTGTGTGTGTGTGTGTGTGTGTGTGTGTGTGTGTGTGTATTTCTACCATGATCGTTATATCTACATTTTTAACCTTTCCCATGTGGAGCTAGTTATTATTTTGGGTTTTTCTCCTTCCCTACACATCATTAGGAAAACATTCAGCAGAAAAAAATGTCAATGAAGCTCCATTCCTGCCAAAAACCATTGTCCCATTCCTATGCCCATTTATTAGGTACTTGGGAATCAACCAAATGATCTTAGCTCCTTAATAGATATTTACTCTTAACCAACAATCTAAAATAATAGGATGTCAGAAGTAGTATCCACAGAAATACTAGGTTGCTAGCATTCTCCTTAATTTAACAGGAAGAAACAAGTACCTAAAATCTTAAGATGATAAAAATCATTTTTAGGAAAGAAAGTGTCTCATAAAATGTTATGCAGTTTGACAAAAATTTTGTGTTTTCATTTTAATCTATCAATTTCCACTACCTGTGTAATTTAAATGTCTAATCATATTTACATACAGAGAGACACACTAAACAAAACTAAATAATACTTCTAAAATGAAATTCCTTTAGGGATGCTAAATGACAGGTAACAAATTAGAATATTAATCGATTTCAGTCCCTGAACTAAATCTTGGCTATCTTGCAGATGTGGTTTTTATTTATTTATTATTTTTTTTTTGCCATAATGATAGCAAACAGCTTTAGTCTGTCACTTGGAATTCCCACTTGTAAGGAGAGGTGTCACAGTGG